GAATCTCTCAATGCATCTTGATCGAGATTGTGTGCATGCATGCAGAACTGGAGGGGGGGTGTAGTGGGGTGTGTATGTGTGAGGGGGGTCAGGTAGTGCCATTACTTGTTAAAGCCCTAAAGAAAAAAATAATTACTTCTGAAATGCAAATGGGAGAATTTTCCCCTCAGGAGGCATGAGAAAATACTTTGAGAATCTAAACTCAAGCTGTAAGGTATACCTCCAATTACACTTTTCCTTCAGAAACAAGTCAATCTCACAACCAAAATAGAAATCTTTTAAATATTTATAAATAGGACAAAAACGACAACTGAGTATTTTCCTCAGTCTAATCTCGTTTATTGTGCATATGACTTTACTCACACATACTGATTTTTTACCAAACAGAGTTTGACAGCGCAGTTTTCTTCGGTCACCGAAGGGGATGTACAAAAATTGAAGGGGACTGAACTCTGTGTACACATTTCAGTTTCTGTTAAAATCTTCATGAATTAAGACTTTTATATCTACGAATGCAGAATATTAAAAAATAATAAGAAGACCTGTATAGATGCTAAAAAGTAACTATTGTTTATCAAAATATGGTCTTTCAAGAATAGTTTGTACTGCTCAAAGGCAAAACTTTAAAAGATGTTGATTCAGAATATAGCTATTTCACAGCTTGCATAGTGTATCAAGATTAGCATTGAGAAAAGACTAAGACTTACCAGCTCTTCCAAACAAGTAACTATTCCCCACCCAGGGCTTGTTATAGGTGAGCTAACCTACACCAGGTCATTTCCTCATTTCCTCTGTGGCATGCATACTAGCATAAAAACAGAATGCATTAAATGGTCATCTAAAAAAAACATATATTCATATTACAATGCCTAGGATTGCATTCTCTCACTGTTGACTCATCTTTAGTCTGCATGAAGAGGCAGTGACTTGATCGCACATGATCATATCACTCAAATCTATTAATAATCTTTCACCAGTCCACTCAAACCAGTCTCACTGTGCTGAAATTAAAACACCGTTCAGAACAGAGTAAACACCTTTTCCATGGCTCTTAGTCTTCAATGAACAGACACTGTAAGCTAAGTGATATATTGATGGGTTTGTGCAGGCTTTCATTTGAAGATTGTTAGCACTCTTTACCTTTGAGAAGTGTTACTTTCAACAAAAAAGAGATTGCTGAATGATGGGACAGGAAATCACATCAGACTGTGTGCAGCACAGGTTGCTTGCTCAGGATATGGGAAAAGGCCATTGGAAGTAGCTGGAATTTTCTCCCGGAAATGTGGAACCCGATACCCCCTGCTCATCAATGTTACCACTTCAGAACATGAACGGTTTGTTTCAATTAAACGATAAAGTTTCTGAGAAGGTGATGCATCTGACAGCTGTTTAAGTCAAACAGATGTTTCCTTATCGGTACTGCTTATAGAAACCTCTAGGAAAATCTTCCATGAATCAATAAAAGCCCGACTGCACCCTATCCACCAAAAAGAGGCCTATGCACAATGCTGACCTGAATAAACTAAGGGAACAGATGTGACTTAACATGCCCAGTGTTACTGCAGACTCTGTTGTAAACTACCTTAAGGATTGTCTGGTGCAAGCTGTTAATGTAACAACAGAGATTCCACATGCAGCTTGCTTTAACAACAACAAGTAGAGGTGAAAACCGGGCTGGGAATTAAAAAGGTAGAAGAAAAACACAATAATCTGGCTGTGGAGCCTTCTTCAGGTGCGTGTGGGGATGTTCTGACAGGAACTACTGTACCAGTCATAAAAAGCTGTCATTACCACCTTCCAGTGCATACTAGTGTAACAGTTTTTTTTTATGTTGTTTGGTACATTTTGTTGTTCTTTTTGGTTAACTGTCTCTTATCAGCCTGCTAATCCTTCTATTGGCCTATATTTAACTAAGGTATCCTAACTCATGAATGGACATAATTATTCTAAAATATGATTATGTGTGTTTAAATATACACAAATCCATGTTATTTATATCCTGTTTAATTCATTTTATAATAAATCATGAAGCATATCAGTTTTGTTTAGTTTTGTATAGGTCATGAAAGGTCGGCCATTATCTATTTTTCATGAAGCGTTACTGACAGTTGAAAATATCTTAATTTATATCATTCTGCTTCAAGATTCAGTCAAATATTTGCTACATTGGTCACGTGTTCCATGAACAACTCCATTTCAGTCCTCAAGATAAAAATCTAATTTTGCCATGTTACTGGACTGTTCTCCAAAACACCTGACATCGCTGGTACTGCCAAAGGGCCACATGCTGGACTCTCACTTCGTGAAGATACGTGGAACCTTGGTCACATGGTGAGTGAATGATCCATGGCATATGTTTACTTAATAAAACATGAGGTCAGTACCTGGCTTTTCTACAAACACACATCTAATACTGCTACTGCCCATTTGTAAAACTAGCCTTCAAGGTCAAATGACCAATAATGACCACTGTGCCTTAAGGGTCAGCCCTGTAAGGACTCTGCTCAGGGTGAGGACATGGTGGTCAGCGCATCTAAACGAGCAGCAACATGCCCAGTCACACACAGTGGCTCCACGGCTGGAAAACATCTGACAATCACACCACATGGTTCTGACTCGGAATGAGAAGAGCCTGGCAGAGCACTTGTACAAGTGTGGTTTGAGCTGGCACCCAAATCTGGGGGGGGGGAATGTATTCTCTTGAGAAAACTCGCTGGATTTATTTTATGCTCGCTACAGTTACAATAGTCTGAATCCTTTTCCTCTCCGGAGCTGGTGGGTTATTATCTGCGCTGCGAGTCTCCCTGGCGTGTGTGCGGAACAAGCTGCCTCAGCCTCAGCCCTGTGATGTCCTGGCTGTGTTGCTGAGCTTCCTCTGGGAAATCTGGCAAAGAGGCCACAATTTCCTCGACCTCAGGATAATAATGTGCTACTGATAAATGCCACATATAGAAAGGGGAGAGGGAGGGAGGAAAAAAAGTTCTTCAAGGGATCTTTGTCAGAAATAAAATCCACACAGCCGATCCAGGAATAAAAAAAAAAAAAGCAAATAACACAAGGCAGGCAAGAACTGAACGGCGAGGACCTTGCCTGAGTGTCTGCAGATGCAGCTACGTGTGGCCAGATCTGATCAGTGTCATCTGAGCACCATCGCTCCCTCACTGCAGTGAAAGGCCTCCCAGCTCCCTTTAAGGGTCATGTTGCTTTTCATTAGGTCGACGTTAACACTGCGTTTCCTCCACAGGAACAGCAGTGCAGGGGATTTTCAAGGTTAAGGAAAGGAGGTCCCATATTTTCTCATTACATTAACATCAATGCTTTTTGTTTCTGACGCCCTCTTTACTGGCAGAGTTACAGACACTGAGCATAAAAAAGCAAAGGGAGAAGAGGCCGTGTTTCCAAATTGTCCCAAATGCACTGCTTCTCCCGGTGTCTTCTTCCCGTATAAAAATATCCTTCTCAGAACAAATCTGTAATCAATCACATCTCCCTGTGTTCCTGCAGACATCCTAGTGATGCTGTCTGTATATAGGAGAGTATCATTTGTTTGTTGTTTTATAAAGGTGCAAGCTCTTATATGACATTTACAAACCAGTAAAAACTAGCTATTGCAACAAAATTATGATATTATTATAGAACTTGGAAGCGCAGGGAACAAGACTGGATTACTCCAATCTTATCACAGGTTCAGAAAGTTGTCTATGCAACACATACAATAAGTACCATATACCAGTGCATGTGTGAGCATAAGCATGACAAAAGCACCACAAATTAGACTGAGCACCATGTTGGATTCACATATTAAAAGACTAAACTTACAGAAATGGTTTTCAGATTCATAATGGTTTAGTCAATTAAACTTGATTGTAGTAAAAATAACTCGCTTGGGCTCGTTACAATCTCCGAGTTCCACACGCAACTTAAAACTCCACTTAACCAATGGATACAAGCTACCAGATGATCATGTCACATAGACAACTCACTGAAAGGGTGGTTTATTATTTATTCAGACAACTTCACACACATACTTAAGATGTTTGTAATGGCAGTTGCAGAAGAAATTCAACATCATAAAGACAAAGAATATATTATAAATGCACTTCATTTGAGTTCTTACCAAATACTTGAAGGACCGGCGCACAGTAATGGATATCTGATACATCTGTTTTTCAAATTAGACTAGTGTCCCTAACAGGGAAGCAGATTTTTTTAAAATTATTTTTGTTGGCCATGTGAATATACTGTAACATGCACCCTCTCATTTTTTTTCTTATCTTCTGTGGAGCAGTCAGACGCCAATAATTTAAGCATCCACTCTGCCCAAAAAGCCCTGTATGAAGGTAATATCTCAATTAAGGCATGAATAAATCTCACTGCCACATCGAGATCAAAAGGAGATCTATCTATCAAATAGTGAAATAAGGTAAATGATAAGGCTTGAAATTGACCAGCAAGTATTCGGTTGTTTGTATAATTCTCTCCCTCATATCGGTTTGTAGACCCATATACTTTCAGAGAAGCTATCACTGTAATAGTGAGTAAATGGCACATTAAATATATTTCAAAATATAAATTACTTCTCACTTCATGGTTTCAAGACATAGCTGGCTGTATGGAGGTCTCCTCAGCCTTACAAGGAGTTGATGCCTAATGCAAGCTGTGTTCTGGGTCTATTACTGTACATGCTGTATCGCTTCGCCCATTAAAAACAATTTGTCTTACAAGCCACAATAATGCACCATGCAATTTAAATTTGGTCATATGGACGGTGCGCACATGTAAAGTTATTGCAAGATAAGCATAACAGGAAACAGAATTTTGATCGGGGGAAACTGATATCCAGATGTTAATTTGGGCATTAAACCCAGTCATATACCATTAATCATCTTTCGGCCTGACGTTTCGTATATTTCCATTTTTCAAACAAACTGCAGTATTATGGGGGGAAAATGTATTGATTTAGTTTGCAAGTTTGCATTGGGTTGTTAGTCTGTACGTACCTCTGCGCAGCAGAGACTTGCTGGTCTTTCCGAGAGCATTTGAGGTAATGGAATTCCTGAGAAAGACAAAAAAAGATGGTGTTCCTAAATGTGTCTGGTTTTTATGACAGGCCTGTTTTTTTTAAATTACAGTCTACCACCACCGTGACAGTGACCACACCACCATCACTACGACTACAGCCAGCAAAAGCATTTGATATGGATCTCATTTGCAAATGTAGGGTGTCCATGTTGGCTTCAGTGCATAATTTTCTCTGACTTTCATACTATCCAAGAAACTGTAAAACAGAAAATCAAAAACAGTTCGGATGATTTCATTATTTATTTCATTGGACAGACAATATATATTTACTTGAACAGACAACATATGTTGAATAATTCATATACATATATAATTTTAATATGGCTATCATATGTTAGGAAGTAATATAGTTTGATTAATGATGACTGAGAAGCCAGATGGCAACTGGATTTTAAAGTAATGTTTTCTCTCCCAGGAATACATAGATCACAAGCTTAGGAAATTGTTAACTGTCACATATACTTTAGGTAAAATAAGCAGGCATTTGAATATCATTTCATTATTCTTCATTCTACTCCCATACGGCTCTGTCTGAATTTAATGAGCAAGTTAACTCTTAAAGCTCATTAGCAGGTGGTGCCTTGTATACAGCACTCTTGTATAGTTATTCCCAAATATTTGATAATTATTTACAGCAACTCATAGTTTATGATGATTTCATTTAAATAAGCAAAAGCCACTCAAGTTGTGTAACAGGCTACTCAATTAAGATGGTACTGGTAATGCAAATAGTACACCACAAATATTTATATTTAAAAATGTATGGTATCATATTTCGGGGATTGCTTTTGTCTTTTAGTGTCTAAATATTGTACTCTACTACACTGTTTATTTTATTTTCCAACATATTTTCTTTTTCTGTACTTAAACTCCTAAGTCTTAAATGGCTCTCTGGGCAAGCACATTCCATCTAAATCAATTTGCATAGAAATAAAATAAATCTTTTGCACATGGAAACCTTTATTGGTAATACAATCTTATTGTTTTAGACGAGAAATGTAATGTAACTAGCATACGTCTTGATGTTGGGATATAATTTTAAATCAAATAGTGAAAAAAAAAAATCCGGATCCAGTTTTATTAGTTTTGGATAGACTACTTTATTTTTATTAATCAAATTGTTTCAATTAGTTTTACATGATTTGACTTTTTTTTAACTGAAAATAGTAGCTGACCATCACTCAAGAGTTATAGTTAAGGGGCCTATTTAGAAAATTGACATGTTTTCTTTTTTAGTACTACCTGAGATGAAAACTTACATATTAACTCCGAGCTTAAGTTTATCGACCAAGGAGAAACCTGCGTGACTTTGGTGCACACGACACCGGGACGTGTGAAAGTTTAATTAGTGTGTAAATTCCGCTAACTGAGGTTAATAAGGGGTTACAGCATTCGTTGTATCTGTGCCATTTCACACACAATCCTTAAAGAAAATGTGTAATTATCATTCAGGGAAATAAAAATGCTTTAAACCACAATAGTTTCGTTTCTTAAAGTAAGTGGGGA